CGGCAGCCTCTTGCGACGCGGCCGAGGTGCTGGCTTCTGGCTGCTGCTGGCCGTCTAGCTCGGCCCTCTGCTTCTTCTTCTTCTTTTTCTTGGCGGCAGCATCGCCCTGCTGCGGGTTCTTTGCGGGCTTCCTGGGTCGGACTGGCCGTGGTCCTGCAACCTGGCCGGGCTGGACCTGGGTGATGATGGAAGCGAGGGCGGATCCCTGCGAAGGGTCGGGGACCGAAGTGATCGGGCTGCCGGATGACGGCGCTGGTGGCGACGTTGCAGACGAGGATGCCATCGTGGGCTCCGTTGGCTGCCTAGCAGCGGGCGAGCGGCCGAGTGAAAGGATTGGCGGGAATGGGCGTCTGCGAAGGCGGATCCGTTCCCGTGGATGGGGACGAAGTCGATTCTGCCAAGCTCTCGCGGGGTTCGAGGACGACGGGCAGCGGCGGCAGGCAGGTCAGTTCGGATGGGGGCCGGAGGCGTAGTCCGGAACCAGGCCGACTGTGAGAGTAGCGAAGCCGGGCGGCGTTGCTTGGGCTGGGCCGGGTTCGGGTGGGCCGTATCAGGGCGTGCTGGCTGTGCAGGCTGTAGCTGGGAGAGGAGCGGATGCTGAGCAGTGACTGGCTACAGAGTCTATGCCAAGGATGGAGAGGATGCTTCGGTTGTGCCGGGCTGGTACCTTGTTTGGTCAACGCGAGGGTGGCTGGCTGGTTCAGGCCTCAGGCCTTGTCGGGTCGTCGGCGGCGAGACGGGGGCGGTCGGTCGATGAGTCGCTGGCTGTCTGTGTGAGCCGTTCGCCGTCCTGAGTCGGGTGCGGTGCTGCGTATGCAAAGCAGGCACGATGCTGTGATAGGGCGAATGCGGTGAGCAGGCCTGGTTGAGATCGTCACGGCGATTCGTCCGGTTCCGGGGATGCCCTGTCGGTCGGCTGGCGAGAGCTGAGGGTGAGTGGTCTCGATCCGCTGAGGGAGGGGCGAGGCAGCAGTTCGGGATGGCTCCGCACTAGCAATGGATGGAAAAAGGGGTGGAGAGGGGGGAGCGGGGGAACAGTGCGTGGAGAGAGATAGGGACGGGCGGACGGTGGTGGTGGTGGTATACGGCGGCGGCGGCGTGGCAACACAGCGACAACGAGGGGCTGGCTACGACCCAGAGGCTAGGGAGTCGGTCGGGGTCGCGGGTCACAGCAGAGGGGGAGGCAGATGAGGGGGGTGAGCAGCGGGGCGGCAGACGGGCAACACAGACTGGCTGGGGCGAGGAGGGGATCGACCTGGTGCGTGTGTGTGCGTGTGTGCGGGTGCGTGCGTGTGCGTGTTTGCCAGGCCAGGCCAGGCCGCGGACGAGAAGCCAGAGGCAGGCCTGTGGGCTCGCTGCGTCGTCGCTCGGCTGTCTGGTTGGCTGGCTGGCTGGCTGGGATGCCCCGCTGCACGCCTGGATTGGCCGGGAGCGCGCGCGCTCTAGCCTGCGCTGTTGTTGTGGCCAGGGCAGGGCTGCCTGCTCTTCGCTGGCCCCTCTCTTGCCGGCCCCTCTTGCCGTCCCGGGCTGCCCGCCGCCCCTGCCCTGCCCTTTGTGTGGGTGGGTGGTCGGGTGGGTCCGTCGTAGCCTCGCGCGCTGTCGTTGCACGTCTCAACCCCTGCTGGCTGGGCCTGCACCTCCCTCTTTCGCAGCATCCGCAGACGAGCGCGCCGTACCCTGCCTGCCCTAGCAGACTTTGCTTTGAGAGAGGGTTGGGGCCCGAGGGCCGTGTGCGGGGCGGCGGGCAAAGAGACGGGCGGGTGCATGGCCAGGCGGCCGGGAAGGGGTCCCGCAGCGAAAAAAAAAAAAGCTGCTGGCGACCACGTACGGAAGGCTTCGGTACATGACGACGACGGCGGCGGCGGCGGCGGAGACAGACGGGCGGCGCGCTGGAAATGGGCGGGCCCCAGCCGAGAGCGAAGTGGCAGGTCAGGCCGGTGGTGTTTGGTCAGGCCGGGTCAGGTCAGTTGTGGCCTGGCCAAGCCGCCGCCGCTGGTCTGGAGATCGTCAAGCGACATGGGGCAGGGCGAGGCGAAGGTAGGCGAGGCGAGGCAAGAAGGCGAGGCGAGGAGAGGCGAGGCTAGGGTCGGCCGGGTGGACAGCCCACCAACCTGACGCAACGCAGCGCAGGCTGCTGGCGGGGCAGAGCAGGGCAGGGCGGGGCGGGGCGACGAGGCCACGACGAGCGAGCGAGGATCGCCCAGTGCGGCGCCTTGGCCCTGCAGGTTGCCATCTTGAAAGCTGCATGCATGCCTGCCTGCCAGCCAGCCAGCCTCGTCCGTGGCTCAACCCACCGCCCCTCGTTGGCTGGACGCTTGCGGATGACAGGCGGTGACATAATCGCCTCGCCTCGCCTCGCCTCGCTCACCTTCTTGCTTCGCCGCAACCTCCACGCCTCGCCGCGACTCGTCCACCCGCATCGTCCAGGCCTTCCCGCGTCCATCTTCGACACTACGCACCTCTGTCCCTCCCTCAAACGCGACCATCCCCGCCGCCGCCATACATGTATCCCTCTCGCATCCGACCGCCGTCCGGATCGTCGTCGGGCGGCGGGCCCGCACGCAAAGTGTGCCAGAAGTGCGAGCAGACGGGCCACGCGACGTGGGAGTGCAAGAACCCGCGCCCCTACAAGTCGCGGCCCACGCGCTTCCAGACGCTCTCGGACCCCAAGCTCGACCGCAAGATACGGCAGAAGCAGCTCGCCGTACAGGTACCCGATGAGTTTCGGAGAGGCGGCAAGGCCAAGGCCCAAGAAGGGAATGAGGAGGGGACGGCCAAGAGGGTGTTGGACGAGAGGAAACGGATGAGGGGCGAGGAGGACAGGAGCAGCAGGAGGAGGCGGAGGAGCACGTCGAGCAGCAGCAGCGTTTCTTCTTCGTCGTCGTCGTCGTCGTACTCGTCCAGCAGCGGATCGGAAAGCGACAGCGACGACGATCGGGGCAGGAAGAGGAGCCGGAAAGCGAGGGACTCTTCCCACTCGATCTCGTCTACCTCCAGGTCTCGCTCGCGGTCCACCTCCCGATCAAGGTCCAGCTCCTCGACTCGCTCTTTGTCCTCAAGGTCAAGATCAAGGTCAAGGTCAAGGTCGAGGTCGAGGTCAAGGTCCTACTCCCGCTCCCGCTCCCGCTCTCGCTCTCGACCCCGTTCCCTGTCCCGCTCTCCATCCCGCTCCCGGTCCCGTTCAGCAACGCCGCGCAACAAACGGCAACGCCGTCAACGATCGACCAGCACCTCCTCCTCTGCATCTCGCAGTCCGGCCCGTGACACGAAGACTGCACGAGGCCGGTCCGCGCAAAGGTCCAGCTCGCCTTCGTCCAGGCCCGGGTCCAGGCCCGGGTCCAGGTCCAGGTCCAGGTCCAGGTCCAGGTCCAGGTCCGGCTCTAGGTCCTGAGCGGCCTCGAGGACAGGCAGGCAGGCATGCGGGCGGGCGAAGAGAGATACGGAACTAATGCATGGCCGGGCGAAAGAGACAAAGATGAAGGATGCGGACACCGACGCTGGGACACAAAAGGAAGGGGAGAAAGAGCCGGAGCACACAGAGGCGAGATAGGACAGGCTGGCGATGTGGGCGATGGGGAAAGTAGGATAGCGGAACGCGATGCGTGGCGAGGGAAACCGAGCGAAGATTGAATATGGATGTCCCGCCGACAACCGAGAGGCCAGTGTACGCCGGCCGTCCGAGTGACGCTGGGGAAAGAGAGAGAGAGAGATGCTGGCTGAGAATCGAGCGGAGATGCAAAGGGCCAAGGTGTAGCAGGTTGGGATGGGATGGGATGGGATGGGATGCGTATAAGAGGGGAGAGGCGGATAAGAGGGGAGAAGCCATTAAAATCGTAGTCGTGTATGGTAGGGCGGGCATGTTGGTCGTAGGTCGGGTCGGCGCGGGCCCGCGGCGATCGTGCGGCCTTGGCGTCTAGTCCGTCGAGCCGGCCGCGGTCGCCGTCGCCGTCGCTGTCGCCGCCGCTGCCATTGCCTTGAGGCTCTCGGCCTCGGTCTTCTCGTAGAGGTTGCGGAAGACGCGCAGGTGGAAGCCGGCCACCTTGGCGATCCGGTCGCACAGCAGGCGGATCTCGGCCGCAAACGGATCCAGACCAGCCCGCGCCAACGTCGCCTCCCACGAGGCCGTCGAGGAGGTGGCCCCGCTCGACGTGGCCGGCGCCGCCGCCACGTTGGTCTTGCCGACGTTAGCGTGATCGCTGTCGCTGTCGCTGTTGTTGCTGGACTCGCGCTTCTGGGTGGGGGCGAGCGAGCTGGTAGTGTCGGTCGATCCTGATGCCACCAACTGAGCCGGACCATCACCAGTCCTCGCGCGCTTCTGCGCGGCTCCGACAATCGTTGCAGCGCGAGACCAGTCGGCCCCCTCTTGCCCCTCGCTGGCGGGGCTGCTGTCGCTGTTCCGCTTGCGCGTTGCAGAAGCAGATGGCGACGTCTGGATGCCGGCCAGCGGTGCAACCTTGACCGGACTGGTCGTGGCGGGCGCAGGGGCGGCGGCAGGGGCGGCGGCAGGGGCATTGGCAGGGACGACGGCAGCGGTGCCGCTGCCACCACCGAGCTTGTCGCCGAGCATCGTCATGACTGCGGTCCGCAAGCGCCCCTGGCACAGCTTGTGCAGCGGAGAACCGGCGCTGAGGTTCGAGTCCATCCACGCATTGAGCAGCGCCTGCGTCTTCTGCGTCGGCGGCGGCGGCTTAATCTCGGTGGGGTCCGTGACGGGGCCGCGCGCCGCCAGCTGGACGGCGTGGGCACGCACCGCCACCTGGAGAAGCACGTTCTGCATGGCTCGCCTCCAGCGCGGGTGCTCGAGCTTGGCAAAGCCGCCGGCGCTGCCGAGGAAGAGCTTGCTGTCGAACAGGGGCGATCGTCGACCCGAGCCCGAACCCTGCGACATTCCCGCGCCGCCAGACGATGTCGACGATGACGATGACGACGATGACGACGATGACGAGAGGCAGAGGTTGGCATCGTTGACGAGACACCAGATCTCGCCCTTGACCGCCTTGAGCTGGCGCTGCGCGATCGCCCCGGCAGAGGAGGGCACAGAGGTCGAGCCATCGAGGGGCGAGCAGGCGAGCTGCCGGAAGAGGAGCAGCAGCATGTAGACAATGGTGAGGTCGGCCACGTCGTTGTGGAACGTGATCATCCTGTAGGCGTCGAATTGAAAGGTCTCCGGGTAGCAGCTGGAGAAGGTGTGGTTGAGCGTCGACGACGACGGCGAGGGTGCCGGCGGCGGTGCCTGCGCGGGTGCTGCTGCGGGCGAAGGCGACGGCGACGCTGGCGTCGGGCCGGGGTGCGGGGGGTCGAAGATCAATCCGAGCATGCCATCGAGGAAGGCGCGCGAGACGAGCGTCGAGCGGTTGCAGTCGGGTGCCTCGCGCCGCGCCTTGCCGAGCGCCGAGACAAACCAGGCCGAGGTGCGCTCCAGCGAGATCTTGCTCTGCTCGAGCTGGTCGCGGAACCAGCGCACCTCGAACTCGACGGCCGTCTCGACGAGGTAGGGCCGCGTCGACCGCAGCTGGTGGTTGGCCACGTCGAGCTTCATCAGCTCGAGGATCTCGAAGCAGAGGCGCAGGCCCTTGCCGACGTCGCCGTCGACGCAGACCACCTCGACCATCTTTTCGATGGCCTCGTCGCGCATGGGCGCGCAGTGCAGCTTCAGGATGGAGCCCATAAACGTGATGAGCGCCGACACGTCGAGCACGCCGTGCTGCAGCTCCTGCGAGATCAGGTGCGGGTCGAGCGTCTGTGCAATCAGCGAGTGGTGGGTCGCCGCCCAGGACGGGCCCGAGCCCGCTGCGGGCGGCGCGACGGCCTTGCTGCTGCCGTTTGACCCCGTGCTCGACGA